GTCAACTTACCACATAATTGGTTTATTATTTTCCAAACTTGTTTCGGGTTATGATAATTACTAATTATGTCTTTCTGTAGTATACTAAGATTCCTCAAATAATTAATGTATTTATTTGTTCTATTTCTGTATTTATTGTATTACTAATAAATATCCTTCTTCCAGTTTTTGAGTAATTCGTTCCTCTTCGCACACATATACAACATCCTATCGTTAATCCATTTACATAAGCCAAGTTTACTTAAATTTATTTTACATTTATATTTACATTTATAATATATTTCGTTAAACTTGTTAAGAATAAATTCTAAAATATCATTAGAATCATCGTAAGCAAGAACACATTACGCAAGAGAGTTTGAACCTTATTATTGTTCAGTTTTAGTATACATCGAGATTGACGTTCCGACATTGCGTTATCAGTTATTACCAAACCTGTTATAAAATGGTCGGCCAGCGCATTATTTATCACAGCTGTTTTTATATTGTTAGTAATCTTACTATGACGCATTGTTTCACGTATAAAAATATGGTCGATGCATGTCTTAGAGATTCGTACGTTTTTTAAATCAATTCGCGTATATTGACTGATACCGGATTCTAGACCTTGTTCACACAATGAATTTAAGTATTGTGTTACAATTGTATTAGATTGCAATAGATCTATGTTCATGTCGCCCAATAATATATAGTTATTATTTTTTGGTGACGAAGATATGTGTTTAGATAGTTCGGCCACAAACAGTGATTTATTTAAGCAAGGCGGTCTGTATACTACACAAACGTCATAATTATTGTTTTGATTAGTAATGATCGTATCTGATCTGATACACATTCAAAATATTGAGTAGAAGTACGATTTCTGATAAATTTGAGACTTTTATGTACATACACAATTACTCCTCCACCTCTCCTTTTGTCACGCAGCTCGTGGTACATATTTAGTATATATTACCAGTCTCACTTCGTATCATCATACTTTTAAACTCAACCGCTAATCTCTCAACATCTTCCACAGATCGTATAACATAAATGATTTTTCTTTCTCTACTCTTCTAGCCTGAATCAGGCCCTTTCTATACCATACAAACTTACAAAGTCCACCCTCCTTAAGTATGGTCTTAGCTTTCCATAACAAGAAAGAGTTATTCGGTGTTAGTGACTCACGAATTTGAATTTTTGAGCCACCACTAAAGCACATGTCCGAGGCATAAATATTAGTATTCTTGGAGGCAACCAGCCATTCGTATTCGTCACCATCCGATAGAGTGACAATAATAGGAGGTTGTTTTGCCAGTTTAGGGTATCTCTGCTTATTGATCTTTTTCCTATATGCCCTCTGTATATGTTCAGGCCTGATTCAGTTTTTTACAAATTGAACTAGTTATGGACATAATATTTTCCTCCTCTTCTTCTTGTATGCCATGGATTTCGAGTTGGTTGTACAACAGGCTTTGTTCTATATTGTTAACTTTTTGTTCAATTACACTATTTCTAAGAGTAAGATTTTTACAAGTGTTTTTTTATTCGGTTATTTGGTTTTCATAACTTTTCATCTTGATTTCGTAGTCATCTATCTTGTCCGAAAAGAATTGTAAGGCACTCTGTAACTCAGTACTAATGACCTCGCGTACTTCTTGACGTATTTCACTTATCATCTTTCGTGTTATACTGGATGTCGGCAGGATCTCTGAGTCAATATCATTTCCCTCTTCCTCTGGCTCCGGCATAATAAACGAAAGACGTTTCGGTTTGGTACTACTGGCGCAATTTCGACAATTCCAATCAGCGGATCGGTAGCAAATAAAACACTGAGCTGGTCAGCTGACAAGTTAGCGCAATTCCCATGTATCCATTTCACACATTTAATGCACTGCAATCCTGGATTCTTCTTATTTATGACTTTATTACACTTTAAACATTTAACCATTTTTAATTCGACGCGGAGATAGTTTCAAGTTATTTGGTAAATGCGCACGAACAGAACACGACCACAGCGTTTCACCGTCAGCGAGTAAAGTTCGAAAAGTTCCTCAGAGCACTCCCCATTATAAAGACGGTAGAACACACACAGAGAGCCAACGTCTTTCCGTAAGCTAAGGGGCTTCATACCGTTTGTGAGTTTGGGATCATCGATAATACGAACAGCCCTACGTTGGATAGAATCAAGTGGATCAAGCTGGTATTTGGGAGCTCCTGCCCAGAGATGCGAGCAATACTCAATATGGGGCCGTACTTGTGTTTTATATAACAAAAGTCGGTGACCTGCAGAGAAGTACTGCTTCGCTCTATTGAACACTCCGAGCTTTTTTGAAGCCAGTTTGGCTTTGCTCTTCAAATGACTCCGGAACTGGACTTCGCTCGTGATGTCGAATCCAAGTATCCCAATACTCTTTGAGATGGTAAGAGTAGGGCCTTTTCCTTTACTGTCAAGTGATAAGGCCTATAAACCACTGGGCCATCATCTAGTAATCTAATAGACATTTCCACATCAGTTGAGTGACCTAATTCCGAAGTGGTGAACGCAAAACAATGGCGAAATGTTTATCCATAACAGCAAATTATCTTTGATCGATTCAGACAAATTATCTCCAAATTTTACATCCGACAAACAAATAGGCTTAGGTTGATCTAGATGAGTTTGAACCGACACGCGTATAATTCTGGTATCAACCTCTTCACGTGCAATTCTTTCTCGCGTTATGAACGCGTCCTTTGGTATAATGAATGAACTTAAACCATTCACCGCAATTTGACCTGAACCCTGATTAAAACGATAAAAGCCTGTAAGAATGTAATGGCAACTACCTAGTTTATTTCTGAGATCTCCCTCGATAAACACATCTCCAGAAAATGTCGATTCTGTATAAATATCTATTATAATGACACCAGAAACCTGCACATCTTCCCTACAATTAATTTTAATCGTACTAGAGGATATGGTTTCCTCATCGTTGACCAATTATGAGATTTCTAAACAGTCATTAGTCTTCTGAATGATTATATGGGGTTGTTCAGTAAACGTCTGACCTATCATCAAGGGTACTTTCACGACGTCATCAGGAACTATTAACAATTCCGTATCGGCTTCAACCCCATCAATTTATATGAGCGCCTTAGTACGACCGTTAGGGCGTTTTAACATAGTATTCTTTGGTACAATGTTAAAATGTAACGACTGAAACACAAAAACAAGGGAGAAAAAGAGAAAAGAAGAAAAACTGCCTTATTTTTGTTATTATACCACTTCTGAGATGTAAATGAAACAATTCAGCTGAGTAACTTGGTGGGCAGGACATTAAATAAGGCATGTTAGATATAATTTAGTAAATATAAATGTAATTTCTATCACACATGTCTATTGGTATCATATCGAGTATAATGGCGAACAAGGGTTATTATGTAATTCCTATATTTTATAAATAATTTGGCAAAACATCCAATTACATACACAGCAGAGATATAGCATAATTCCTAACGAGTATATTAGTATAATATCCGCAGGTACTCACCGAGTATAATAGATCCTCACTCACAACAACTTTCACAATATGAAGGAGAATTGGAGTTGTTTACTTCCCGATCGTGAAACGCTTTTTCTCTCCGTTTCAAAAAAGACAGCCGGATATTTGTAAGTTTAGATATCCCTACTCGATCGAACAATATGGCGCACGTGTAGGAAGTGAACAACTGAAGTACTCATTTAAATTACCAGGATTAATTAACATTTTAAATTACATTCTATATATTTTAAATAATTATATAAATGTCGAGGTGTTGTTAGAATCAATGGCCGAAGGTTCGTTATCCATGATTGGATTTTAGAAATAAGAGCGTAGAATTACAGTCCACTAATTTAATCAACAATTACAATTGTTCCGAATCTAAAATAATAACGTTTTATCGAGATTTTATTGGATTGAAAAATGTGGTGGTCGCGACACGTCTCTCACGGCCCACCGTCCGTCAAAAACAGTGTCGCCCTTTTACAAGTGTCGATTCCACCCAAGTTTACAATCAACTTGACATAATCAATCGCAAACAAAATAACGTAGATAGTTATGCACCCGGATCGGTCCCGCACCCTACAAGTAAGGATATGAAGTAGGCATAACACCTCAGGTACATCCCAATGTACTTGCAAGCACCTTACGCTGCATTCTAGAGCGCAAACATCCTGTGGTGCATAGCCCCGATGCAGATAAGCTCCAGATTGAAATGCATTGGGAGACTCATTAAATAACGGGCATCCAACTCTGCCAGTTGTCCAGTTAAGTTAAATGTAGTTTCATTTTTAGTTTTTAAAAAACCTCCTGTCGCTCCCGGAAACAAGACTGGCGCAGCCGGTAGGATTACTACGAAAAGCTGCCTAAAACGTTCGCGAAAAACCCTATAAGTGTTTTTACACGAAAAAGTGGTTTTTACCAAAAACCTTCGCGAGTAAACTTTATGAATACTTGTGTCCAGTGCGGTATACAGCGGACTTACAGTGCAGCGTGGTAATCCTGCGAACCAAAACAAATTCGTCTGATAGCGGAGAATACGGAGCTGAACGATGAGAGCTGGTGGTTGGTGAGTAAGACTTTTTCGCCTTCCTTCCTCGTCCATTGTTCAGTTATCTTGGGATCAAACCTCGCCCAGTTTAACTAGTTAAGTTATACATGTCTTTATATAAAAATCTATAAAGTCATATTAAGTAATTTTATGTTAAACGTGTCTTTATATAAAAATCTATAAAGTCATTTTAAGTAATTTTAAGTTAAACGTGTCTTTACATCGAACTCTGTAGAGTCATTTTAATTTTGTAATTTCTAAGAAGCGCTATTGATTAGACTCTGTATGAGCGGTCAGCATAACAGCGAAATAGTTAAGATAACGTAACGTGTCTCTATATCAAACTCTACACAGACATTATATTAGATTTTACATTTTATAAATTACATTTTGTGTTGCTTGTTATATATAATAAATATTATAATTTTGTTTGTGTCTTTTGTAAAATGGAAGAGATAAGAATTATCCCAAACGAAATTCTTAAATTAATCCCTCAATTCAGTGGTGATAGACGACAACTTAGTTTGTTTATACGTAGATGTGAGTATGTAATACATCGTTTTCGTGGTGGTGATAGTCAGAATGAATATGTACTGCATGCACTAACTAGCCGCCTAACCAACGATGCATCCGCGCTTATCAGCGAGCGTGATGACCTCCACACGTGGCTCGGAATCAAGGACTTACTGATTCAACATTTTGGAGATCCGCGCTCGGAAGAGTGCATTGCTATAGAATTAGAAACTTTGAAAATACGTCATGGTGAAGGTTACGGTGATTTTTGTAAAAGGATTCAATCTGTACGTTCAAATTTAATTGCAAAAGTTAATTTAATTACCGACGATGATTTGAAACGTAGTAAATTAATAATTTATAATGATATGGCATTGAAAGTTTTTCTGTTTAACCTCTCAGAGAAAATGGTGCGTAATGTACGCTTACATAGTCCCGATACACTTGAAGATGCTCTTAAGATTGTTTTGGAGGAAGTTGATTTCTTAGAACAATATCAGTTGAAAAATAAAATGACTTCATCCACGAATCCGAGGATAACAACACCGCATCACGGTACTAATAATACGTTTGGTTTCAAACCAACATTTACACAGAATCAACCCCTCCGAATTTTAAAAATCCGCAAGTACAACAAACGTCTCCATTTTTACAAATTCAACAGCCAAAATCACAAAATTATCAAAATCATCAATTTGCATACAGACCGACATTTTTGCAAAACCAAAATTTGAGACCCCAGATTAATTTTCCGAATCAACAATTAGGGTATAGACCTCAGTTAAGGGCTACGCAAACACCAATGCGGCCTCAAGATTTTGGTAGACAACAAAATCGACCAAATAATGCTAATAACTCAGGCGACGTGTCCATGCGTACGGCGCCACCGCAACGTTATCAGCAACAGCAAGGGTTCCGCCTAAATGAACTTGAGTTAAATAATAATGAACTGTATTTTGATGATAATTATGTAGAGTCTTATCCAGAAGGCCCCTGTGTGGAGGATACTTATTCCGAAGAGACGCCTCTTGCATTACCTGAAACACCTTATAACAATACCGAAAATCCCATATCAATAGATTTTGATAATAACGCTGAAAAACCTCAAAATTTTACGCTGGCTCCTGTCAAAAACGATTACAGGTAATAGAGCTAAATTGTGATAAACGCTTAAAATTGCCTTATATTCATATCCCTGAAATCAATGCAAATTTTATGATCGATACAGGTAGCATGCGCTCGTTTATAGGCCCTAAAAAGGCGTACGAGTATTATTCATCTGAAATTTATCATGAACCATTTGAAGTGGTTAGCACTCATGCAAGCAGTAAACATAGTGAAGTTATTCATGTACCTCTACCGCCCACGTTCGGAAGTCCGGAAATGCATAAATTTTATGTGTATAATGTAGATTCACGCTATGATGGGTTAATCGGAAATGATCTTTTGACACAATTAGGTGCTGTGGTGGACCTGAAAAATCAAAAGTTAAAAACTGACTTTGTTTCTATACCTATAATCCAGAATTACGCTGGATATACTGTCAACTTACCTGCTCGATGTGAAGTGAGAGTAAAAGTCCCCACCGACTTGTGTGATGGTCACGGAATTCTAGAATACACGGAATTAGGTAAAGGGGTGCGCATGCCCAGTGCCTTGGTAATATGTATTAATGGATATGCTACAACTGTAATCCAAAATGTTCTTGAACAAGATTTAGAAATGAAAATTCATAAACCTTTCAAAATCATAAAATACGATGCTGACAAAAGTACGTGCACAACAAATGTAACGTTCGATGAAAATAATGTGGAAATCGATAATTTACTTACGGATAATTTAACAAAATTAAGATTAGACCATATGAATCAGGAAGAAAGAGAGTGCATATCTAGACTGTGTGAAGATTATAAAGATATTTTTTACTGTGAGCACGTTCCCCTGTCCTTTACAAATCACGTAAAACATTTTATAAGAACTAAAAACGATGAACCTATTTATACCAAACCGTATAGGCAAGCCCCAACACAGGCAGAAGAAATAAAAAAACAAGTAGAGAAGCTGCTGCAAGACAATATTATAAAAGAATCGTTTTCGCCATGGAGTTCTCCTGTCCATTTAGTTCCAAAAAAAATAGATGCATCCGGTGTCCAAAAATTCAGGATGGTCATTGATTTCCGTCGTTTAAATGAGCTCACCCTTGACGATAAGTATCCGCTACCAAATATTACTGACTTATTTGACAAATTAGGAAGCAGCACTTATTTCACGACCCTAGATTTGGCAAGCGGCTACCACCAAATTGAAGTTAATGAGGCCGACCAACCTAAGACCGGTTTTAGTACGCAATTCGAGCACTACGAGTTCCTCAGAATGCCATTTGGGCTTAAGACTGCCTCGTCTACTTAGATGATATTATCATTTTTTCATCCAGTTTACAAGAGCATTTACAAAAACTACGCACGGTATTTGATAGGTTACGAGAGACCAATTTAAAGATCCTACTCGACAAATCTGAGTTCTTACGAAAGGAAATACTGTACTTAGGTCACACAATTACTAAAGACGGGTTAAAACCCAATAATGATAAGATTAGGGCTGTCCTTAACTACCCCCTACCAAAAACTACCACGGAAAT